TCGAAGTTTTTCAGGACGAATGACATACAGTGACGTTTGAGGTCGACTGCCTGGTGCTGGTCACTAATTTTCAGAAGAGTACACACGTTATCGACATCAACCATGTGGATGAGGACGGCTTGACAAAGGTGCTTCAAACCATCCAACGCATAGTGGTCAGCCTGAAAGGTTCCAATGCCGTAGCGGGGTCACTAGCCACTCCCCTCACCAAGCCCAACACTTCTGCCATGCTGGCCGTGTCTAGTTTATGGTGTGCAACTCTACCAGTATACAAAAACTCGAGCATGACCGAGAATGCCTCGTACGACCAGCCAGTCAACTTGACCTGATATGACCATCACATGGCCACGAGTCTGTGTACGACATGCTACCTCTCGCTCCCTCGATTCCTTCATGCCTCCTGTGAACATTGCTCTAAAGTGACTGCATTGAGATGCCTAAGTGATAGAGCCAATGTAGAGCTATACTGAACCGAAAAACCTGACCAGTATCGCCTTATGAGCATAAACACGCTCGCCAGTATCGCCGATGATCAAAGTAACATCACTGAACTCAGGATTGTTAAGGAGGCCTCGGAGGTTGGTCAATAGGGCTGCTACCTTCTCGTAAAGAGAGACATCATTCAATGGTAGTCGCTAAGACCACCGAGCTTACCGCTCCCTCCGAGAGTTCAGTTTCTTCTAACCGAGTAACATCGAGAACGTGGAGATCGTTCAACCAGCGTACACCGTCGAAGCCACCAAATACATACAACTTCGCAGAACCCACCAGACATGCCGAATGCCTAAATCAACACGACCTCAGTCAAATCGATCGTCCCCATTCCATCGACATCACCTCTGGCGGCCTGCAGGAACATGGTCTGTCTCTGTTGGATGGATCCACCTAAGAAGCTCCTACATGCTGAGATGACCAGCAAAGCCCCACCTGTGAACAGCCGATCCACTAACATCACCAGTGCTGGGTGAGAAGCCACCAGGATACCCTGTGTCCAGTATATACAGGTCGTTCGATCGGCCCTATCAACAACAACATCCACATGACGACGTTGCTGTTGGTCAATCACCTCACCTTGCCATCGTACCCACCAAAGAGGAAGATCTTCTTCCCTATCAAGTTAGCAGTGTGCCCTCGCA